GGGGGGGGGGGGGCGCCAATATCTCAAAAACTACATATTCAGTAGGGCTAATCTTTTGTGTATGTTGATTTTTCACATAGTGGATCATTTTTATGGAGTTTCATAAAAATCTGAGATGGTCAACCTGGGAACTCTGGTTGATTTGACACGGAATTACCCATTATGCTATATGCTGTGTTATGATTTTAGAATAAAAACTTGTGAAATTAATGTATGCTATAAAAACACGAGTTTTCTTGAAATTGTAATAACTTTTTTACTGGAATTTAACTGAAGAAAGGCATACTTCATCTGCCCATGCGTAAACTTTGTATTACATAATATTTCTCCAGTTCTGTTTTAGTTTATAAAAACGTGATGCATGATGCTGCATGCTTGGTACAGTGGACCATGAGTAGTAATGACTTGACCTAGAATTACTAATACTTTTAGCTCAATACCGACTGTTATTAGTCCCCATAATAAGAGAATGATTGATTGAAATACTCACAAGTGTTTTATTTTATTAGATTTTATTATTAAACCTTAAACTAAACTGATGTTGAAAACAACACAGCATGACCGTCTAGCGAGAAATGGGGATTTCTCTAGAGTAAGAATATGTTGTTTCATTGCAGTAGCCAGAAGTTTACACGCATTTCCAGTTGTTTGTTGTTTAATAATCGGCTGAAAAAGTTGAAATTTCTTTGTGACCATTTGCATGTTAAAATGATTCAAAATAATTAAAAACTTAATATTATGGGACGGTTTTGTGCTTAAAAATAGGTGTCACAAAAAATCTTTTTTGGCCTAATGCCTGGGATGGGAATAAAGGTTGCTTGAGCAAACAATTTGTAAAAGCCTAATAATGCAAGCATCGTTTTGAAGTATTTAAAACATTATGTTTTCCTCTCTCTCTGAAAAGGAAAATATCTGAAAAATGCTGAAATAAGTGTATTTTAGCCTCACAATATGGATCATACTTGTATTGTCAAATTCTACTATTGTCACGCAATCTTTTCGCACCTCGCTTCATCTATTTATTTTTATTTTATTTTATTTTATTTATTTACTTTTTTTTTTGAGAAGGGAGGTCGTTGGGGTGGGGAAAATTTGGCAATAAAATTTTGTTTTTAAATTGTTTTCCCATGGACGTATAACGTAGGCAGGTGGTGGGGGATAGTGGGAATGGAATTTTGTTGTTGAATGTGGGTTGTGTGGTGGTTGGGTACTTGTGTGGTGGGTTGGAATCCTATTTTTATTCTGGGTCATCAATATTGGGAGGGGAGCGCAGCGGGTTCGCGAAACAAAGTGTAAAAAAAAGTCTTGCTATTAAACCATCTTGATCTCCTTTTTTTTCTAATTGTTAATGGTTTTCTTTTATTGCTTAATATTGATGTTTGATGTTTTAAATAATTTTTACCTTTTTGTCACCTTTTGTTAAAAAAATTTAGCAATTCAGCCTTTGGCTGCAAATGTATTTTATATGTTTTGCAATAAAGATACCAAGATATATATCTTAACATGTGTTTTTTAGTGATTGCTAGTCTTTTAAATTGTTCCTATTTTAATCTTCTGATCACAATAAAGCGCACTATCTATTTTTGCTGCCATTGAAAACAGTCTCAAATCATCCACGGCATGAACTTTGACACCCACAGAATTCTAGATATTTGAATGGTTTTAATGAATCTGTCAAAAAAATATGCTCACCACTTTTGCTAATATTATATCACCGGATCTAAATGATTTGTACATTTCTACTCGGTCTTTCTCTGTAGCTCGAATGTCTTCTTTTCTAAGGACTCCATGGAATGTTGTCTGCAGTTTTTTATCACCAACACTAAGAATAGCACAACGACAAAACTTGGGATTCACATTCGTAACCTGAAAAAAGCAATAATTTATTGACATACAGTATAAAATATTCATTATTTTTATTAAACAATAACAACATACAAAAAGTAAAAATTGGCTGATGAGCTAAAATAAAGTTGCATTATGTACTGTATGTGTATGGGCATGCAGAGCCACATTACAGTATAACAAGTTGTTGGGTTCACAAAGCCCTAATACTGATCACAAACACAGCTCTTGCATTAATCATCATCTTTACTTTATAATTTCCTTGTGAATACCTTATTCAGTTCAAGTATTGAAATGCACTCCATCGTGTTGGTGTTCAATTTTTCGACATTATGTCATCATCAGGAGTTATGTGATCATTCCTGATGATGACAGAATAATAAGACACTGTATTATAAACCCTGTAAAATTATTATGCAAAGTAGTATCATACTTGTACAGCGTGAGCCTATAAAAGCCTATTAAATTAAACCCATTTTTCACTGAAATAGTTTACTACGCTCACAGTAGTCGCTTGTGAAGTTACTAATGGCGAGTGGACATACAGTACCATCTGAATGGCAAGTAGAGGAGATATTTTCACACTGAACGACTCACTATAAGCAACCATTTTTTCACATGTGCAGTATTTACAGCTGCAGCAGATGTGTGGCTAGTGAGACAAAACGCCAATTTTTGGAGTGACGACGTATCATCACAAAAATAAAGTACATCATCACATCGGCAATACAGTGTTAAAATAGGAATTACCCAAGAATTGATTGTGCAAAAACTATATTACATTGTAAGTTTGATGTGTGTGCACATATTACATGTTTTTGATTAACCCAATGAAAGAAATGAATGAAAATTAATATTCACATTAAGATTATCAACCAAACATGATAAATTCTATCTATCAAACGGATACAATACGATAATTAATACAGTACATCTACAGTACTAACGTTTACCTGGAAGAACTAGCAATTTCATGGATTCATAGTAATATCTGTGTATATTTCTCTGCCATCCAATTTGTTTTAATTCTATCTGACCTCGTATAAGTGTTAAACTGATTTAGGGCAGGTCCAAGCAATTTGAAATTGTGACGTACACGACATTCAGAGACTCGAGCTTCTAGTTCAATCACAATAGACAAATATTTGAGCCTCTTATTATGCTTTATGTAACATATACTTATGCTAGTTTACTGTTATCTTTTTTTACTTTATATATCTTCACTAATGAGGTTTAACCCCAATTAATGTTAATGTCACATATGGGACCAGAGAAAAAAATGAGGTTTTTCTTATCTAAACTTCTTCACTCTGATGTACAGGACATTTCCATAGGCAGAACACGCCAACTTTAGCTATTTCTTATACAGTATTTAATATAAAATTAATATTCTTTATTCTGTATGATGTAAGGCTATGAAATAGCCAAAAGTCAAACAAATTCCAAACAAAGGTTTCCCTTTTTTAATCAAATACACATAATGAGGGGGTGAAATTTCACAATAACACCTTGGTCACATACTGTAAAACCTCAAATAGAAGCCCAATGGGCTTAATCTCGAGAAGAAGCCCATTTCGAATTGAAGCTCTCCTCTAATATAGTTTGCAAAAGTACTCTCTCAAGATAGCATTGGCTTTTTTTCACAGCAACAAAATAATTTAAAAACACGCTTGGTTTATACAGTAGTTTACAGTAGGTGATTAATACAGGTTAATACACTCCATGATACCCATTTATTGTTTTATAGTAGTAATTCCTGTAATTTACAGCATTTTATTTTGAAAAGAATCCCCTCTTTACTTTGCAAATAGCCTTTAAAAAGAAGAGAAAGGATAAAAGTCTACAATCACACCATGGTCACACGGGTGTACGGTAAGAATGGCCCTGGAAAAAATTGCCCCAGAAAAAATGGCCCCGGTAAAAATGGCCCCATATGACAGGTAGGTAAAAATGGCCCCAATAATCAAATTCTGTATTAAAACTGATTTTCTTTAGTCAATATATGCATTTGTTAATCTTAAATAATTTAGTTCTTAAAAGGAATCTAACATCAAACAAATTGCCATTTACATTTTACTTTTTGCAAGAATTAATATTCAATAATAAAATATTCAAAGATAAATAAAAAGCCATGAATTACAC